GGCTTTGATGGCTAGACGACTGGGTCAGAGCATCTCCAAAACTGCAGCTCTTGTGGGGTGTTCCCAGTCTGCAGTGGTCAGTACCTATCAAAAGTGGTCCAAGGAAGGAAAAGCAGTGAACTGGTGACATTTGGTTAATTCTGTTGTCATAGCAAAGGCTTAAATTTCCCAGTACAAAATGCCTTTGGTACACAATAAACAAAGTAAAAAGAAGGGTGCCTCAGCAGGGCTGCAATACTATTAAGAGATATAGAGATATTTATCAATGAAGAATAACAAACAAGCAATAATATGTACTTGATCTGACAGTTCATAATGTCTTTCTATTTTTCTTCTCTCTTGCCAGGTTCTCCATACAGAGATAAAGTGACCATTGCCATCCTTCAGCTGCAGGAGGAAGGGAAGCTACACATGATGAAGGAGAAGTGGTGGAGAGGCAATGGCTGTCCAGAGGAGGACAACAAGGAAGCCAACGCTCTGGGTGTGGAAAACATTGGTGGTATCTTCATCGTCCTGGCTGCCGGTCTGGTTCTCTCTGTGTTTGTGGCTATCGGAGAGTTCATCTACAAGGCCCGCAGGAACGCTGACATAGAGGAGGTGAGTGAGGGCAAGGAACTGCTGTTCCTTTGCTGAGTGATGGTGACAAATGACTGGATTAAAGGCTGCACTCTGCTCTAATGGGAAGTGGCACTGTAATGAGATCATTGTTTTAAAGTATAGTTGAAGAAAGGATGTGATTAAATTAATTATAGGATGTTGAAAATCACGAGTATTGTAAGAAATTAGAATATTATGCTAATTTATTCTCCCACACACATTCAGAGACTGAGGACAAGCAATGTTTTGTGTAGTTTTTCTTTGTTAGTTACTAATTAATATTTTCTAACTATAGAAGTGCTCGTTAGATGTTGTTTGCATGATAAAAATTAATTCAGTCCAAATTATATTTGCATTTGCCAAATGAAAGACAGCCCAACTGTTCTCTCACTGTTATTTGTGTATCTTAATTCTTCCTCATATGCCCAAAATATGTCATGTTTGATTCATTTCATCAGTACTGCATTATGCCTGAACTTCCATGCTCTGTGTGAGCTTTTGAGAACAAGAACATCCCTTTTTACACTGTTTTAAAAGAGCATCAGTGCCTTTCACATGATTAGTTTTTTGCTTTGCCTTTTTTTGTGTCTATGTTGTTGTTCTTTGTCACAGTTTACTCTCTTTTTTTACATCATTTACATCTTTTGATCTCTTTTGTGTTTCCCCCTCCATCCTTTTCTCTATGAATGCTTGCGTCAGGCCTTTTGTTTCTTTTACGGGGTGCAGTCCCGTCAGTTCCAGCGGCGTGGCTCCACCTCCTCCTCTGGCACCTCCTTATCTACTGATCTGGAGAGCGGCAGGCTACTGGGGGATGACACAGAGTAGCCATGGCAGCACATTTACAACACATACACACTCTAGACTATAGGTTTGTAACCAGGTGTCCTTCTTTCTGCCCCCATTGAAAATACTCCAGTATACCTGCACCCGTGTCAGCCAACCCCAATTACCGTTGCCATTTTACCTTCAATAACTGACCCTCGTGCTCACACTACTTGTAAAAATGTTAAGTAGAATGTCAAGTTCATTCCTTTTGTTCTAAGGCCAGTGTTGCATTATGACAAAGTATATACTGTACATACACTGTATAACTGGGTATGTTTCAGATTTTACAGACTTTCTTAGTAACTTAACTAACAAGCTTAATTCATGAAGAGAATACATCTCAGACATGTCTGCTTCATAAGTGACCATTCTTGTTTTTGAATATGTTTGTTATACAGCACGTAAGGAGCACTTTACTGAAGAAAGCCAAAATACTGTGAGACTGTAATTAGGGAAAAAATTCAGGACATCTGAAAAGCTTGCATGTTATTATATAAAATGTTTGAGACACCTGTTTTTGTCCTTTTCAGCACAAAATTATTACAATTTAAGGATAAATTCAAGTTTGCAAAATTTGACATTTAAGTTCATGTAAACAGTGTAGTGCTTTGCGATGCTGCCTGTTTGTTTTCACACTTAATACAAGCCCACAACTTTTGGCTCCTTCAGTGTAGTCTCAGTAGGCATTTGTGTGTACTTTAGAAGCAGACTTTGAATGCCTTTTGGGAAATCAAAAGATAGGAAAAGTTATTTGAATATTTTCCTCGTCATTAAGCTCGTTAGACTGGTTTGTTTGGCTGAAGAGTGATGGAATAACGTGTCAGGTTAAGATGTCCCTTGACACAGATCCAAAGCCAAAAGTAAAGTTGTAATTTCATGAATAACTTCTGGTGACTGCAGGACATTTTAACTGAAGTAATGATGGATGGGATCACAGAGGGATACAGATTCAAGGTCTTTTCTGCTCCCCTAGACTGACCTTGTTATCTAATCGCAAGATCATTCTCTCTCCAAAATATAGTGGAAATATTCAGTTAGTTATAGCAAATATTAACTGCTACAAAGATGAATAATTCATAGCACTGTCATTAAGGCTCTAAAATAAATGCACATATGATAATTATGTAAACCACTAAATAAGGAAAATAAGATACCTCATGAAATAAAACCAGAATTAACAATGTTTTTGGAGGGGATGTTTTTGTGTCCAAAGTTGAATCTCATATACACTGTGACTGCCAGGTGCCACAAATCCTTAATTGTGGGATAATCATTTCAAGTGCATACATGATTATGTTTCTATCAGGTAATAAAGTATGGTTTATGTTTTATAGTGTTCAAGCAAGTCCAAAAAGTGCTCCTCTCTCAGTCTTTAAGTTCTGAGGTTGGTACGAGCTAGGTACCAAGTAACAAGTGTTACTTGTATTCGTGGGAAACTCTGCAGGAAGCCATATTCGTTTGAGAACCCTTAGGCAAAGCCTGAGGATGAAAGAGGGGAACACCTTCTGTGGTCCTTGGATGCAAAGACCATCAGATAAAAACAGGATGACTTTGTGCTGTGAATGATGATTTACAAAATACATTTGGTGAGCACCCCCTCTGGAGGATAGCAAAATAAAAGGCAAATAAACATGATCGAAGATTAATGAGTTCAATGCGATGTATTGTTCTTCAGAATCAAATAAGCCTGAGGCGTCACATTTCAGATGGCCCGCTCTTTGATCATTTCAAATAATTACCATATTATGAATTCATAGCTCCCTGCATTAGGATGTTGCACAGCAGACATTGTCCTTCATCTTTTGTCTGTGTAATTGGATTTTACCATGAAACAACAGAGTTTAAGTCTTTTACAACTCTTTTAGATAAATATATAATGCTTGTGTGTTTTGTCATTTCTGGTGTTTGTCTGGTCAGACTCTAGAGCTGGTTTGCAGTCATTCAGCTGCAGGCAAGCTGAATCAAAAGTTATTGCCTTAGGTTTAAAGGTAAATTAGTATAGCTTTCAGTTAAAGCTTCATCCAATCATTTTATAGTTGATCCAATTATACAGCAGCAGTCATTTTTTTATGTTACTCATTCACAGTCTTTAAACTCATGGCCAGGTTTATAAAGGTCCTAATGACTATTTGAAATCAGCTTTATTGGTGTCCTAACTCAGGCCTTTAATTGTTTTCTCTTTGGCAGTGTGTGTCTTTTAGTGCTGTGATGGAGGAGTTGGGTATCTCCCTGCAGTGTTACAAAGGCATCCGGAGGAGGTCACGACCCCACAGCGGAGCAAGGTCAGCTTGCATCTTCTGTCAACCCAAACGCACTGCAAAGAGAGAGGGAGCGAGGCGGGACTCCAGCACTTGAGCCATGGATCTAAAAAAGAAAAAACTGATGGAACTTAGATCAGAGCTGCTGTTTGATCGCTGATTTGTTTGTGGGCCATCGAATGATATGAAGTTGTTTCCTCATCACCCATGTCTTTATACTGTCGGTATATGGATAACACATTAAGCATTAGACTGTAGATGTAGTTTACAAAGTCCTGGCCTTGTATCAACATTAATAATGTTAAAACAGGTGATGACTCCAAGAATGAAAGCCCTCTCATAGTATAAACCTTTGCTGTTCCCTCCTGGCTGTAGTTCACTGTTCTGAGCAGTTTGCAGAGTTGAATCTGCACACTTTATAGATACTCCAATTGTGTAAATGTATGACGTCACTGATTTTAAGTAAAAAGATTTTTGCATTTTTTAAACCGTTGTCCGATTTGCTGTTGGTGTTGTTTATGATTGGCAGCGGTGCGCCCATGTCTTCCCCGTGTAAGGCAGGCAGCAGGCAGCAAGGTAGCTTCAGAGCGGATTTCTGAGCCAACCCTGGCCAGCGAAAAGAGATAAGGACCTGTAAGGAAAGTCAGGGACACACCTGCTGTTTTATACCCTTCAAGCACCAACATCACAGACATCAAACACACACTCACACATTCACACACACACAGCCTCACAAATATTTGTGACCATAACATAGCTGTCTATGCATCAGAGCAGGGATATGATACAAGG